GATCCATGGAAAGTCTTAGTCTCCAATATCCAACATAGCAGCCTATGGCAGCCCAATCTTGCACTGTTTTCGACTACTTTCCCCAGTCATGTGTCTCAGACTAAGACATGGTAGAAAGTATCACCGACTATTGAGGCAGGAGTCGTACGGAATGATACCAGTAGAGTGGTCAGGAGTGATGGGGTCTAGATGGTTGATTCAAGAGGATTTGAAGTCTTTGTTGCTGTATTTTAGCAGTGAATAGTAGTGCTTACATCATAGCTGCGAATGGGCAACTCTTAGCGACATGTATAACGTACCCCACAAACACGTAGACAAACAAACAAACCAACTCTGTAGAGTCGTACCTTGGGATGCGTCGTACCTGAGATTTTCGCCAGACAGGTGCTGATTACAGACTGCCAAGGACGCAAGACAGGTGCCTATTACAGATTGCCAAGGGTGGTGCTACTCCAATTAATTGTAGTAAGCGTAGCGCCACGTTTAATCACGTTCAGATGTCACTAGCGGAGCTGGAGGAACATATTTGGTGGTTCTGCTACTTGTAGCCCCCCGATATGGCTCCACTTCCACTTTAGTGACTCTGGTTAGTGGATCACAAGACCCTTTTAGCGTATTTCTTTTTGCAAGGTTCCAGGACCACTTTTTACAGTTTGCGATAATGCAGGATGTCAGGAGGCGGGCTTGGCAGGAGTGAAAAATCGGTGATAGAAGTACGCAATATGAGATTTAACAGCGGGAATCAACTCCTTTAGCAGTGATTAGCCCCCAATAAATGTTTTGGGCAAATCCCGTAGGAAACCATCAAGTTACAGACGACACAAATCCGTCTAGACCACCCCACAAAGCTTGGTATGCATACGAGTCATACGACAAAGAACAAACAAGCACAGAGCGGCAGAAACATGGAGGTGGCGCAACAGAGGGAGGGGTAGAGGTCATATGTCAGAGAAGTATATATAGAGGGAGGAACTTGGCCTGGATACACCTTCCAACCCCCAACCACCTACAACTACAGTTCGATACTACAGCCACAATGGAGCCCACAATGTCCCCTTCGCAGCAACAGGCAAGCAAGCCTACGCTCTACACCATTCCAAACTACGACTTTGACGCCGACAAGCCTCAACTCAACTGGTCCTTGACTCAAACCATTCTCGAGTACATTGCTTCACCTTTCAGACGACAGAAGTAGGATACAATGATGAATGAATACAACGATCTTTGGTTAATGAATACGGTAATGAATCGATAATGAGTTGATTAGTTAGAGTACAGTAAAGAGACATGCTACGGGGTGTACAACTAAGACTGCCTAAACAAGTTTTGCTCTCTTCAGGTCAGGTAGGACACTGTATAGTCAATCGCCTTATAGGACTGCAAAATGAAATTTGAAAAGATCAAAGTAATCCTCAGCTGCCCAGGAGCAAAAAAAATGTAACTCATGGACTGGTTCCTACATCAGATCACGTGATAGATTCAAGCGCCACCAGGCGGCATGTGTTCGACTCTGGCGTGAGTATTTTTCAGATCTCTCCTTGCACGATAAAGTTTTCAGCCGTATCCGAATACGAGTATCCGTTGCGGGAGATGAGATCAGGTGATTTCGGTTGAGAGACAAAAAGAATAGGGGTTTTCGTCTCGAATGATGACTGTTTGAGAGTATGTATAATAATATCAGCAAAGTCGACAGGGTCATTTCCCACTAGCTCTCCTTCTCACTCTATGGGATCAAGTACTTCAGTAGAGATATCAGTGGCTCCAATATGACAGTAGTTTGGCATTTACCATAAGTTTTCACCGTAGAAGCCGTCAACATGGCTCATTAATTGGGAATTTGGAAAGTGTATTGAAGAACCAAGGAGAAACCTGAGAAGTAGACACCTTATACAACTATGCGCGCGGATTCCCATACTGGTTGAGGTTAGAGGGCACGATAGTCCAGCGAGGGTAGGTACGGTACGGAGTGGTGAGACAATGTGGTCCTGGCTGGAGCAATGAGACAAGAGTTTCAACTTCGATTTTGTCAACATTCAACCTCGTCCACAGCATCAACCCCTAGGGTACAAGTGCATGATGTGCGCTGTTATATTAGCCATGTTCAACGGCTCAAAGAGTTGAAGAGCAAGTTGTCTGGCTTAAGTATCAGTGAGATAATGGAGAAGTTGGTCCTGCGCCGGTTTACCAAATAACCCATCTTACCGAGAAACCACAAGAGCCGTTTCCTCCAGCTTTAGCCTATCAAAAACAGGGGTATGCGATTCAGAAACCAGATTGCATCCACAACAGGTTGCTTGGACTCAAGAGGGCTAATTCAGCTTGAAGCTGGTGAATAAAATGAACTTTTATATAACAAATACATTAGCGACTTAGATATCACCTTTTGGAAGGCATTCCGATATACCATCGAATCTTGGAGCTCATAATCACTCCTTCAGGAACAGTCCTTGAGAGAAGTCAGCTTCTACCTCGAATTTCTCACCTTGGAGCACATTTCCTGAAAGAAAAGGTCTTGTTACTTGCGCATGGCTCAGGCCCCGCAAAACTTGCAACCTGGAGTCAAAGCGCCTGGTCAATACGCCCTGGCAGGGACTTTAGACCGCTTGCTGCTGGTAGTAGTTATCACAGAGGTGCTTAGTTGTGTCTGGGACGTGAGGAGAGTTTGAAGTTCTGTAGTGGTTGTAACAAGTACTGACCGAGTGGTTCTATCACTATTTCCGAGTACTTCGGTGTCCTTCTCATCGTATTCGTGTGCAAACTACGGTACGGATAGCTTGACAATCTCTGGAATATCTCATTGTTAAATTTACAAAGATTTAGTTAAGATAATCGTCTATCCGCAGGAGTTGTAATAAAGGTGAGTTCCACATTTCGACCAAACTGACGACCGAGATATGTGTATTCTTTGAACGGGCTCGATTTTTCTCGGTATAATGTCTTGTTCTTTGTATATAGGCGTACTAGGTACGTCAACTTTGTTAACAATCCTCCACATCTCGCTTCCTTCGCTTCCGCAAACACCATCGCCTTAACCATCGCTCGTGGCAGCTAAAAATAACCACGGGTCAAGTTGTGCATCGAGAGCTCCGACATGTGCGTCTTTTCGGCTTCTCCTGCATGCCGCGATACCGCACGCTCGAAAATCTGCATTCTTCACTGCCCGCTTTATCCGCTTTATCAGCCGAGGCTCCTTGTCTGTCGCCTTGTTTGGATAGGGCCAAATCTCCGGCTGCCGATCGTGCATTCGGGGGGTTTGCAAGCCCCGTTTGCACCAGCTGAATAAGCAGAGAGACGTGGACGGGACGGCCGAGTCATCAGAGCGCTCACTGCTCAACACGTGCCCAAGGCGTTGGCATGCGGCGGTGGAGCTGGGTCTTGTCGCAACGGGCCTCGGCTCGTGGAAACGCCGTTAGAAAAAGTAACTAGTCTACTGGCTTTATATTTAGAGTCTTGGTGGGAAGTGTAGGACAGATAAATGGCAAAAGGGGCCTCTAACGGGCTGAATACCGGACAAAACGGGCGCAAAAAAGCTCGCAATCACTTAGAAGACACGGAAATGACAACAAAACGTCCAAAAAACCCCCTTTTCCCCGCCTAATAGCCCATTGATCGCTTGCTCTGGCCAAAGTAAAGATGCGTCTCGGCTCCCTCTGTCCTAACCCTAAATTTCCGCCTTGACACAATTCTAGAAATTAGTCTAAAAAAATATACTGAGGCGCTGACACAGGTTACATCTGGACGGGACGGGTGACATTGACGTGATCATGTGAATGCCACAAGACGGGGAGGGGCGATACGCGGACATTGGAATCGCAGAATCACGCCAATCTCGCACAAATCCGCCAATCTCGCACACAAACAAAAACTGCCCATTTCCGCACACTGCCGCCGTATTCGCTAACGGCTTTTGTTTGTTGCCATTCTCCAAGCCCAACATCTCATCCCACTTAATAGCCTTGATCATCGCCGAACCTTGCATCCAGCGTGGCAGTTAGGGTGAGTGTTAAAGTGTGAGTTGCCTTAGTGCCCTTTTAGCGCCGTTTAGAGTGCATCGGTTGGTCTGATGAGCTTGGTGGTCTGGAGGTGTGAGGGACCGATGAGCTTGGTGGTTTGGAGGAGGAGGCCGAGTCGTGACAAGGTCGTTTCTTGAGGGTAGGAGTACAGGAAACTTGCACAATGCTGTAATTGACCGTGTCGACTGAACCCGCACATTGTTGTCATGTGTATTTGTTGAGTTATCGTGTCATATCGGCTTCATATCGTGCTCATTCGTATTCAATACTGTACAGTACAGTATGGGATGCAAGCAATACCGAAATTATGTCTCGGTTAGAAATTGCTCCAGAAAAGAGCAAGTCGAAAGACGGTTGGAGTCCATTCCTACAAGTACTGTAGCTTGGCGTATGATGGCGCCTTCTGGTAGTAAACCCACCACTGCTTTCAGACACCGCAAACGCCCCAACTTGTATGCTCTTGTACATACCGTACTCCAACGAACTGGCCAAACAAATCAACCACCGCCACCACCCACAAACTTGCCGAATAATATCCAACCTCCAAATCTGCCCAAACTCACTCTTTTGTTCGTCTAATAGTTGCCCCTGACACTGTGCCAAGAGCTTATCGTGGAATGCTTGACAGTAGCCGTAGAGAAAGCAGGAGAAGACATCTGACAGGTACAAGCAGAGCGGTCCTCGGAGACCGGCAAAGGAGAAGGAACACGGCATGACGTCTCTCTCAGTCACGTGACCTCGTCTTCCTCCCGCGTGTGTTCCTCACCATGCCGACCATTGTATTGTATTCGAGTGTGTTAGCCAAAGTCAAAGTTGAGTGTAGCAAAATTTAAAAAAAAATTCAAAATTCAAAATTCAAAAAAAACCGACACACGGCTGCGACAAGGTTTAACCGGCTGCATACGCATATAGATGCGTCGATGGACATGTTCATAACATCGCCAACCGCCCTTTCTTTCCTCTCGCAAAACCTCTGCTCTCGCCCAAATGACCGACGATAGGGGCCCAGGACACATTCCCGTCGACTTCACCGAGCCCCGCGGCGCCGACAACTTCACAACGCCGCCAGATTCGCCCAGCGACACCTCCTCAACCGCCAATCGAGACCCCCAACAAGTGGACCCGCAGCCCTTCTACACAGACATTGTCGAAGATGACGAGTACAACCGGTACAACCACGAGGAGCAGGAGCTGCACCGGATCCAGACCAACGCCACGACCACCAGCATGAAGTCGATACGGCGTACAGGCACTCTGTTGGGCAACAATATTCCGTACAACCGAGCATTTCCCAACCGTCCACCGGGTCGAAAGCGTCAAAAGCTGCTGCAATACTTTTTTCGACCGGCGTGGCTGTTCGACCACATGGACATTATCAGTTTCAAGACGGTGATTCGATCGTGGATCGGAGTGTCGTTGGGGTTCATGCTCATGATGATCCCGGCCTTTGTGCGATGGTGTGGATCAGCCCCTTACCTACTGCCTGTGGTGGCCGTCATTGTGCCCGCCGGCTCGCAGCCCATCACCGTGTGCTTCATCATTAACGCCATCATGTGTCTCTTCACCTGCATGGGCTACGCCGTTATGGTGATTGCAATGCGAATCAACAACACCTGGTTCCACAATAGCATCAATGCCGAAGGCATGGCCCGACAAATGATCCAGGAGGGTCTGTGTGCTGCTCCAGACTCCAACGACCCCAACTCCCGAGCCACCCTCACAGCCTGTGTTATCGACCAGGTCTACGCAGGCAAGTTTATGACTGCCCGAGGCTCTGTGGTCTACTGTGTGCTGCTCGGAGCCTTCATGTTCTTCATGCTGTGGATGAAAAACAAGTCGCGAATTCTCATTCCAGGCTATCTCTGTGGAGTCATTGCTGTGGGCGCCCTCATGCCTCTGGCCCACATGTTCCCCTACTTTTCGCCCAACACCATTGGTCTGACCCTGGTCAAGCCCATGGGACTGCAGTTTGCCATCAATGTGGCTCTGTCCATCCTAGTTTTCCCCTTTTCCTCCGGCTTCCAGTTCACCCAAACAGCCCTTTCCGAACTCAAGATTCTCGAGGGACTTGTCAAGTTCCACGAAAACTTCATGACCTCCACTCTTCCCTCCAATGAAGCCGACTGGCTCAACTTTTCTCAGACCGAGGCCGATGTTCAGAAAGCTCGTCAGCTGTACCCCAAGCTGGAAGCAGAAGCTGCGCTGCTTCCCATTGAGCTAACTTACTCGCGTTTCGCCTTTCCCGACTACACCGCCCTAAAAACAAGTGTTGGCCGGGTTATTTCCGGCATGTCAGGACTTGTGTACTTTTACGACAACGTTGAGAACATTCGACGGTCAATCTTGCTGGTTGAAACTGCCGGAAGACCCATTGACATGTCTCGAAAGCTGGCTGACTCGACTGGAAACGACTCCAGAAAGGTTGACAGCATGCTCAAGCGTCGAAAGAAGGATACTGGCCGGTTTGACATTGACGAGAAGAAGAAACCTGCTCCCGTGGGCGTCTACGAGATCAAGACTGGAATCAAGGGTGCCAAGGCCCAATACCCCGATTCTTTGACCATGGAAGAACTTGATGCACTGATGATTCAGCTGCGAGAAATGTCTCTGCCTTTTGTTGAGCAGGTTCGACTTGCTCTGGAGACTATGATCAAGTGGTTGGCTGCTGCCAACGTCTACAGAGTCAACAGTTTGTTCTTTTTCTGGCAGAAGAAGGGCCACCGCCAGCGTCAGACCGAACTCGCCGCTGAGCTTGCAGAGCGTCGTCAGGCGTTCAAGGAAGCTGCCCACGACTTCCTCAACTCCAAGCGGTTCGAGCTGTTCCAGTCGCTCGAAGACTCAGATGAGAAGACGTCCTTTGTCACCTTTTACTTCCAGGGTGCGCTCTACTGTACGTACATGAAGGGAGTAGCCGAGACGATCGATCTGCTCTTCACGACGCTCTCCAACATGGACGAGACCGAGTCCAAGCCCTCGTGGACCATTGGAAAGGGCAGCTCAAAGAACGACAAGGCTAAGTCGACTGAGGCAGCTCCTGCTGCTGGAGAGAATGCCGGTCGAGGATCATCCGAAGAGGAGTCCGAATCATCCGAAACCAGCGGTATTTGGACCGGAGTTGAACGAGAACTCAAGAGTTATGCTCATGGCCATGAGGAGCATCTGTGCAACAACGACGATCTTGAGGAGCTGTACGCTCAGTCCATCCATGGAGCCGGCATTGACGGGGACCGAAAACGAAACCCCGATGCCAAACCTCCTACCACTCGCGTGGGAAAGTTTGGTGTCAAGCTCAACCGTGTCATCAAACATCTCATGTCTCCAGACATTATCGTTCCGCTCAAGGGAGCCATTTTCACTATTCTGTGTGCTCTCCCGTTCTACTTCAAGTCGACGGCTCCCTGGTGGCGTGAGAACAGACTTGTCTGGGCTGTTATCATGACTGGTCTTTCGATTTCCGAAAACATGGCCGACAACCTGTACGGATTTGGCTCGCGTATCCTCTATACCTTTTATGCAGGAGTCATTGGTATGGTTGCCTGGTACATTTCCACTGGTAACGGAGACGGTAACCGGGCCGGATTCATGGTCACTACTTGTATTCTGTACTTTGTGCTCATGTTCTACCGTGAGTTCTCCGTTCACTCGACGCCCATGCCCCAGATTGTCATGGTCGTCACTACCGTCATCATTCTTGGCATGTCTTGGACCGACGGAACTGGTGTCACCACTCCCTCGATCGGTGTGGGCTTTGCTGTTGCGTGGAAGCGGTTCGTCACTGTGGTCATTGGCCTGTCTTACGGCTTCATTTGCACCCTTCTGCCCCGCCCAGTCACCGGCAAGAAGATTATTCGAACCACGCTCGCCAGCATCATCAAGGACACTGGTACACTCTACTGCCGCATTTCCGACTTTGCCGTCGGTCGACTGGCCCACCCCCACAAGGATGTCGATCTCAATAACGACCCCATTTTCAAGTCCATTGTCGGCGCCCAGAACAGAATTGCAGGCTCTGAGTTTCTCGCCAGCATGGTCATGTATGAGCCCTCGCTGCAGGGACAATGGCCCTCCAAGGTGTACCGGGAAATCACCACCATTGTTTCGGAGCTGGTCGAGCTGCACCATCATCTGTACATTGTGCTGCGACGAATCGAAGATCCTCGCTACTGGTTTCCGCATCTTCTGGATTTGGTGGGATGGGGCGACCAGCCACTCATGTCCCACTACTTTGCCGTGCTCTACATGGCCCAGGGAGCTCTCTACGACGGCTCTCCTCTTCCCCAGGTGACTCCCGCCATGCTCATGGTCGAGCACCTAGATCATCTTGAGGGGCTGTTCAAGACCTCCTTTGACGCTGAGGCTAGACATTCCATGGGCGAAAGCGCCCGATCAGACTTTGAGCCACAGCCCGAGACCAACCAGATTTCACTGGAACGTCTCAAGAGCAATGACGGTCTCATTTTCTCAGCTGCCATTGTTCTTTCCAACTGCATCTTCGACCGAATGGACCGGCTCATGTTCCAGGTCAAGACGCTGGTTGGCGAACAGTTTGTCAACTCGGAGTACTACCGCGATCGAACTCGTTTCAAGAACGACAGACTTGTCTAACGTGTGTATATATATATATATTAATAATGTGTTTTTGTATACACCAAGCGTAGCCGAACCAAAGTACATACTTGTAGATAGGTCCAGATCTGAACTCTCACCACTTCATAAATCATCAATTATGCTATCAATTAGTAACTAAATATAAATACTTTTCAAAAGAAAGGAAACAGTCGTCGCCAGCCTCCCACTTGACGCTCATCCCGCGCATCCTGCTCAATCTGCTCGTCAATGGCCTGCACGTTCCGCTGTACAATTTCGTGCGCCAGGGCAGACGCCTCTCTGTTCTGTTGCTGAGCCTCCGTCTCGGCTTCAGCCTCCGCCTCTACCTCTCGCACGCCCTCCACTGTCTTTTTCTTTGGCGCTAGTCCTGGTTCGTCGGTCGCCTCGACAATCACTGACCCGCTCGCAGAACCTTCTCCCTCCGTGGGTGCCTCCATCACGACTATGGTCTGTGGCTGTGTCTCAGCCTCCTGAACAGATTCCTGGGGCTCAACACCCTCGCTAGAACGTGTCGTAGATCGATCCTCCAACTCCACGTCATTTCCAACATGTCCATTGTCTCCGTTGCCTCGTAGATTGGGGTTGTTGCGCTCCTGACGTCTTCGATAAGCTCCCATAAAACCGTTCAATGTGAAATCCATGCGTCCTCCTTCGGCGTCTCGCCCTAGACGAATCATGCGCTCCCGCCGGACAGTCAAATTGGTGATCTTGACACCCGGAGGGAGATAACCCTTGGGAAGAATAGACTGCTTGCACAAGGGACAGAGACAAGACCTGGTCTCCAAAAATGGCCGGATGCAATCGGGGTGGAAAATGTGCCGGCATGGCAACTCCAAAACCACTGTTTCGTTCTCCTCGTAGTCGTCCAAACAGATGGGACACGATGACTGAGAGTAGCCCTCCAGACTATGTTCCGGTTTCGATTCGTCCGTCTTTTTGTGAGCCATTTTCAGCCACTTGGTCTTTCGCTTTTTGCTCGCCAGATCCTTGTCCGTCCATACACTCTCTTTTCGGGCCACGCTTTCATAATGCGAGTCGCCGGAGTGGTACACCTTTTCAGGCAGACGAGCAATGACGTCTGTTGGAGCAGAAACGCCAATGAAGCCAAGCTGTTCGAGATCAACCTCGCCGTTTCGCAGTCTAGTTCGCAGGTTTCGTCGCCGCTTGTACTGCACAAAGTTGAGAATGCATGACAGCGTCAGAATGGCCACCAGAATAGAACCGACGATCGCCAGGACCCACACCCACAGCTTGGGCATATTGGAGCCCGACTGCATGGCCATAAATCGTAGACCTACACGGGTCACTGTCGGCTCGCCCCGATCACCGTTGTGGTAGTAGGTCGACTGCGGCACCTCGGCAACGTGCTCCACCCACTGGCTCATCATTTGGGCCGTGGAGTACTCGACTCCGTAAATGCTGATGCCCAGGCCCGGTGGCAGCAGCTGGGTGATGTTGGAAACGGAGGATGCGGGGCTGTTGGGGTCCGAGGCAGCCACCAAAATCGTATTTGCCGACGTAGAGGTGATGGACTCGAAAAATGCCTCGTTGCATTCGTCGGTGCCAAACGGAATCAGAGCAGCCGACTCCACAAAGGAGACAGGACCCTGCATTTTCGTCTCTGTATAGTTGGTTGGCGTGTACCACTCGGGGTTGCACTGGGGCTTGTCGCTGATGGTGGGCACGTATAGCATCTGGACAAGGGGCATGTCTCCTGTGTCCAACACCAGACCCACTCCCTGAAACTGGGCCGAGTTCATGCCTGGAGCTGTCAGAGTCGGGGCATTTTGACGAGCGGTGCCATTGATAGGTACTGAGTATGCTCGGGTGTCGATGAGTACTGTGTTAGTATAGAACGAGGGCTGTTGACCGCAACAGATGAGCAAATAACGTAGGACAGGATGAGACTAAACATAGTTGGAACAGATGGGCAGTAGAACAAACCAGACAATCTACTACATACCAACACCGTTATCGCACTGTACTGACTACAATCCAACTTATCCATCCTCTCACAAAAGCATCTCACTCAGCTTGGCTTGACAGGGATAGCAGGTGGGGATAGGTCAGAGATAGGTCGGTGTTGTAGCATCGGAAGTCACCATAACCGCAGCAAACTATTCCTCGTCTCTGAGTATTTGTAGTCGTATTGTAGTCGTATTGTAGTCGTATTGTAGTCGTCTTGGTAGTCGTCTTGGTAGTCGTCTTGGTAGTCGTGTAGGTAGACGTGTAGGTAGTCCACATACCATCTGTCTACTTGTACTGTAGTCAAACATCCGAGTTCCTGGGTTCAAAACCACTGCAAGAATTGTTGTGTTTGCCTTTGTTGCGTCTGTGTCTTCTGTGTCGGTTTGTGTCTGTTTCCTCGCTGTCTGTACCATCTCTCTCTGTCATGTCTCCTTCTCCTTATCACTCACTTGACGCCATTTTAGCAAATGATTCACCTCTGGTGGGTATAGGTTTACAAGTGATGGGCCATGCATCATGCACAATAGTTGATACGCACCTTGTAGCTTACCCTAACCTTGATGGCGGGAATTAGGTGTCCCCAAAGCGGTGTTTTTGCGCCTTTTTAGCGCTGAAAATCGATATTGGGGGGAATACGACCTATTTAAATACCTTCACATGTCCATTTTTTCTCCAAACTGTCCCCAAATATCTCCAAATCAACGCCCTCGGCCCACGGCTGAAAACGTAAAGGCCGCACATGTTAAGCCTCGTTAGAACAAGCTTATTTCCAGTGGGGAAACCAGAGCCATGCCAACCGATAGCAGATATCCGGAGGCACCGATAAATCACGTGCACAGTCCTTTTTTGGACCGCGAAGACACATATCATTATTAGTCACGTGATACTGGCTCATTTATCCCCGACAGTCGCCGTCTCGTACCCCTTTGTATCCGTAGTTGTCTTGCATGGTACCACTCTGCGCCTTTGCATGATGTTGATCTGCCTGAAACTTTCGTCTGGAAGCGGTATATGATGACTAATGAGGGTAATAACTGGTATGTAAACGAAGTGAGAGCGGTAGTGAGTCGGTGCGAGTGTTATCGACAGACTTGAGGCTTTGAATTTCGGCGTCAGAACTGCAATTGCGGCTTCAGAAACACAATTTGTCAGATACTCATTCGTTAAACAACTCCTATCCGTTCTTAACTAAGGTTTAACTGGTTGATGAGTATTAGTACTGATTATACAATGCCTATACTAGTCCAATAAGTTTGTTAAAAATGTAATAAATTGTATATATATTTTCAGAACACGTTTTTTATGATATAGAGGGCAATTTCCGTCAATTTCTGTGATCCTAGCGTCTTTAACACGTCTTTTATACGCGATGTTTGGCGGAATTGTCTTTGACAAATTTGTTCATGATTAAAAGATTTTAAGTAAACCTCAACAGTAAGGAGATAAACAGTTCTAGGAGTGCTCTTCAAAACACGATATCGGATCGGTGGAAAATACGCCATTGTAGATGTAATTATTCCAATAAAAACACAAGCGAGCTGAACAAAAAGGTGATTCGGCAAAGCAATTCTGCAAAAAGTGATTTCTGGCAGGATCGAACTGCCGACGTTCTGCGTGTTAAGCAGATGCCATGACCAACTAGACCAAGAAACCAACGAATCTTGATTGAAAAAAAATAATGTATACTAAACCTGTCATTCGCTTAGTCATCCTCCTCACACAGATAGGTAAAGAACCTCAAAGTGCTTCAGTTTCTTTTATATACTGTAGTTTTGCATATAAAATCATCTAAACATGCTTAGACATGGTTTCGCTTCTCCTGACTACCGTCCCGTCTTTTCCAGATCTGATATCATATTGAGTGGTCTGGAGTTCCAATAACAGATTAAATGTGTCATTTAAAAACTTATTCAGTACAAGGACTATTCTCTTATCGTACCAGTATACATATATTCCCCAAATTCTGCAATTTTGTCTTATCTTAGCGCGTTTTAAGCGTCATTTTGGTGTGGTCACTTTGGTGTGGAGAACGTGATGAGACACTGGTAGGTTCTGCTTGGGTGAAATGTCCAGCAACTCGCGGAGATCTGGAGTTGATTTCTTGTTGGATATTTGTGTTCCTAGCTTGCGTTGATGCTGTTCTTTCTGTTACCAATAGTTATTCATGTTGCTTGACTACATTAAAGAGACATTCGCTTTGAGAAGTGGACTAGTTGATAAACTGGCGACCACGCCTAGCATTACTACAATATTGGCTGAATCAATACAGCAGTGTATGACTACAGGCACAGACCATCCCCCGTATACATACATTCCTGCATAGAACGCTGCGCTATTGATCTTAGACACTTCACCCAAGTTCAATACACATGACATTCAAAGCCAAGGAGTCATTCAAAGCCAAGGAGTCATTCAAAGCCGAAAATTCATGGCAGACTTTGTCAATGGATTATTTCGCCCCAGAAGATTCGTTTGATCAAGTCCCCGGCTTCTCTACTTCTGTTTTTAACGCCCATATTATCGAAATTGTATGGGTGTTTTCAGATTCTGAAAGCAAAACTGAAACTCCTGGAAGTGGGGAGACGACGGTGGACTTGATCGCAACACGGATTGAAGGATTTTGTGCAAAACTGATCTATTTCTCTGTCCCCTCATGATGCTTGTGTATGCGATTCAGTACCTAGACAAGAGCACCAAAAGTACAGCTGGGTCTTCGAGAAGACCTGAAGATGGAAGGAGGCGACTTTGCGCCTTTTATATTGGCTATCTGATCTTCGAGTTCTTATCTGTCTATATTCTCCAGCACTTTCCGCTCGTCAAAACTGTGTCTGTCTTTATCATTCTTTGGGGTCTTGTCCTGTGTCTACAAGCCGCTTCAAACTACCCTGGATTCATTGCGTTGCGGGCAATCTTGGGCATGTTGGAGTCCGCTGTGACTCTCTGCTTTGTCATTCTCACTTCCCCGTGGTGTAAGCGCGAGGAGCAGTTTCTGAGAACGTCCATCTGGCTAGGAGCTAACGAACTGGGTCTCATGGTGGGGAGTTTCATGGCATATGGACAGGCAGCCAATCCCCCTCTTACAATAGCCGGCTGGAGGCTCATTTTCATCATCACTGGCGTCTTCACCGTCGTTGTCAGCATAATCGTCCTTCGAAACAAAAAATTAAAGAGAGAACAGTCCATCGAAGCTCTTACCGACACCCGCACTTGAATCTACTTCTGTTTTTGCGTCAGCCAAAACTTTTCAAACGGAGGCATCTCCAACTTCAACACCATCTGGGACCCATTCGAGGACAGTTTCTGCAAACTCCCCAGGGAACCACCGAGTTCGTGGGCTGCATTCTCTTCGGAATCATCGTCCATTACTTCCAAAGTCGACTTTTCATGTCGCTAGTGGCCCAGCTCATTGGGTTTATGGCAACCTGTCTGCTCACCTCGGGGGACTCCAACACCGTCAACGCCATCCTTCTCATAGGAGACTGTCTGGGCAACATCATTTGACCCCAGACATTCAGAGCCTCGGACGTTCCAGTGTAGCTGCCGACAAAGTTGTCCATGGTGGTCTTGTTTTGTCTGGCAATGGCCCTCAACACTGCTCCATCGTGGCTCGATGTAGCTGAAAACAAACGAAGAGACCGAGCCGAGTCTCAAGCCACCTCCGAGGAGCTCGAATGAGTCCAATTGATGGATCTCACCGACAAGCAAAATGTCTACTTCCGGTACGCTTGGTAGAACAGTGTCCAACACGCCTTGGTAGAAATACAATATACAATACATTAGTTATTACATGTTTACGCGTCCTTGAACTTTTTCATCGGAGGCTCAAAGTCCGTGTTTTGATGTGGGTGCTGGGGGTGTTGGGGGTGCTGGGGGTGGGGGTGCTGGGGGTGTAGGGGGTGCTGTACGTGCTGAGGAGGCTGGGAGTGTTGGGAGTGCTGTAGATGCTGTAGATGCTGTGGAAGCTGTGGAAGCTGTGGATACTGTACATGCTGTGGATACTGTGAGTACTGTGGATGCGGTGGAAGCTGTGGATGCTGTGTGTACTGCGGCATCTGTGGGTATCGATGCTGCACATCTTGCATCTGATTCTGCGGGTCGCCCATACGCTGACCGTCATCCAACGGCATATCCATCTCTGAATTCATCTCCGCTTCTGGCTCTTCCTCCTCATGGACCTCGTCACTGGCTTCACTCTGTAGCATCTGACGCACCTGCTGGCAAATGAAAGCGTTCCGCTCAGGGTCGTCGTAGTTGTAGTTGAAGTCCAGGAACGTATCAGTAAACTCCAGGCCCGTGGAAGGCGCTTGCATGGACCGAATAGCTTGCTTGTTGAGCTCCTTCAGCCCAATTTGGCCACCTCGGGCAGGAGCGTAAATCGCACATTTCGCATCACTCAGAGAGTAGGCCATCTTGATGAACCGTCGCAACGCAGCCATGAGTTGAACGGTAACGGCAACCGTAGCGTTGGTGAGCTCGCCAGACTTGGAGACAGCAGAGTTGAGAGAATGAACAATCATGTGGGCATCTTCAACCGTGGACAACTCCAATGTTGACAGAGCTCGACACAGGAAAACCACCGTCCACAAGCGGTTGGTGATATCCTCTTCACTTGTCTGGGTCTCGTCCAGTTCCAGAGCTCGGGTCATGTTCAGAAAAAGCTTTCTTCTGGAAGATCTAGAACCCTTAATGACGTTGAAAAACCGATCCAGATAGCCACTTCCCTGAGCAAGCTTGGGACCCTGAAGCCGTCGCAAGTAGTCTGCGGCAGCTCCTATTCCATCCACATAGGTGCCATCAATCAACGACTCGTGTTTCTCGTGAAACAGGCGGTGAATACTTTGGGCCTTAGAAGCCACTAGAGAAACGGGACTGGCTTCCAGAGCCACGGTGGTCGTCATCAAAAGTCGAGGATTGGCAAATCCCTGATGCGACACCTTTTCCAGCAGCAGAATGGCACTAATGGAGTGAGCACCGGTGCCAAGAACTGCAATTTGAAGAATGGAATTGAGATACCGCTGCACAATGGACGCACAGACTCCATCGTTGACAAACTTGGATGTGGTTCCGTGTAGGACTCCGATATCCACCTGTCCAGAAGCATCCGTGTTACCTGCGCCCTTGAGGCCCGCCTTCGTCGCCATTTGCTCCTCGTTCTCTAAGAATGCCGAAAACTGCTTCAGAACGATATTCTGCAGCTCTTCGTCGCCTTCCAGAGCCATATCCAGACACGAAATGACTCCAGGAAGCATAAACAGCTGGGGGAAGCCAATGCACACGGAAAGCAGGTTACGGACAGAAAGACGCACAATCTCCTGAGACGCGAGCTTGGGGTTGCAGAAGAGAAGAAACAAGCCTGCAATGAACTCCTCGGACTTTTCGGGCTTACCTGAGACGTGAGGTCCCAACAGTTTCTGGAAAAGAGCCTTGGCGTCGTCGAAATTGCAGTACCGGCCAAGAGTACCAACCAGGTAAATGAGACGCTTAAATTTCGGGTCTGCTGGTGCCTCCATCAACTTTCCTGCCTTGAGATGCTGCACGTGCGGCAGAAGTGCCTTGACGCAGGATAATGTGGCGGTCTCGATCTTCTTGGTATCCTTACGCTTTGAACAAACAGCCCAGAGACACGGAACAGCCACAGAGAGCTCCTTAACGTTGAACTTTGTGAGCTTCTTGAGCATGGAAGTTTCAATATCCTTGAGAAGCTCGTCGGAAAACTCAATGCGAGACGAAACAACAGCAGTCTCGAAGATTTTGAGCACGTGGTACGTAGACAGGTCTTTAACATCCGCCGAAATGTATCCTCTCAGTGACGTGAGCTGGTTCTGAGAGATGAACAACACATTGGCCTCCACAAAGTATCCTAGAAGCTCCAGATACGACTCGGTCTGGACAGGATTGTCGTCTCCAACCACATGCTTGACTAGCAGAGAAATGTACTGCGTTCCAACCTGCAACGTGGCTTCGGGAATGGGATCTTTATGCAAAAACGGGTTGAAAATCGAGTCGAGGAAGCGGGCTAGGTACTGGGCCAGCTGCTCACTCTTCTTCAAAGTCGCTACCATGCTCTGTGCATCTTCAAGCTTGGCAACCATGAACCACATTTCCTTCAGTGTGGAGGTCGCCAGTTCTTGCACGGACTCCTCCTCGTCCTCGGTACGATACAGCAGCTTTTCGATAATCTCCAACTTGACAGAGTTGTCAACATTAGTTGCATACAAATCTCGAAGAAGCCGCAAGACTCGCTTACGGACTCCTAAGGACATGTCTGACACTCGCTCGAACAGGGACTCAAAGTACTGCGTAGTCTTGGTGGGTTGTAGCAGCACATACTTGCCCACAATCTCCACTGCGGCGTCTCTGACAGAAGCTGAGGCGTCAACGAGTCGAGATTTTAACGAATTGGCTACGAATGGGAGCCGCATAATCTTGGGATCGTAACTCAACAGAGTGGTTAGTGATTTAAGAGCTCTGCTTCGGATTTGGATTTTCGATTGCTCCAAAGAATGGCATATGGTGGCCAGAATGGTATTGTAGGACTCTGCAAGTGGCATATGCAAAAGGATTCGAGAAATGTCGTTGGCAGAATCAAGAGAATCGTTAGTTCTAGAAGAAATCTCATCGGTCATGCTCTTGGTCATGTCCACGTTCTCAGAACACGATGCAGCAAGCCGAAAGAGCTTCTTTTGTGCCAGTTCAACAACATCCTTGTCTTCATTGTCATGGTAGCCGCCCAGGATGTTGCCCCATTGGGAAACAAAGTATTTGCGAACGGTTTCTTGGAACGGGTTGCTAGTTTGCACGTCGTTCAATGTACGAAGAACGTAATGCGCGGACATGGCGAGATGTTGCAGGTCTTCGACACCTTCCTCGCGTGTGATCCCAGCCTGTTCGAGACACTTTTTGCGAAACGACAGCACATGGCACCCAATAGTTCCCAGAATGTCCATACAGAGTGTGAGAACGGCGACAGGAGGCTGCTGTTTCTCTGGAGCAGAAAGAAAGTCGGAACACACGCGCACAAACGTGTGCAGAATCAGCTCGCCGGAAATCCAGTCCAGTTGACCGTACACGTTAATGAAATCCTCAACAAACAAATCCAGCAGTGCTCTGTAAGGCGACTCGCTTGATTTTGCGGTCTTGGACGCCTTGTCGATGAGGTAATGAACGGCGTTGGTTGCGGAAGAGCGTGCGTTGGCTGTAGCTTGTTCACAGGCCTCTTCAAATTGCTTGACAGCCGGCGATTCACGTGTCAGCTTAGTGTTTGGATCAAAGGTGAACTTGTAACCTCCGCAGGAGCCAATCAAACGCATCAGAAGAGCCGAGACGGTTTGGATCGACACGTTTCCCACTCTGAATTGTCGTGCATGCGATTTGGTGGAGGGTAGTTTCTGCATGGAGGTCAGAATCTCGTCCAAAATGAATCCCTGCTGGTCAGGAAACGATGCAAACGTGACGGCAAGCACTTCCATAGCAGAAGATCGGAAAGACTCGACAGCGAAGGGTGACAGCATGTAGATTGAGCCTTTTCCACCAGTCGCTGACTCCATGAACAGAATCTTGACAGCCATGAAGAGGATTTTTGTGATGATCGATTCGTCCAGAGGTCGCAGGTATATGGATTTGCAAAACAGGTCGAGAACCCTCATGGTGGTGGCAACTGTGCTTTCCAAATTCTGTCTCCAGCTGGCTAGTTGCGAACCACACTCCTCTGCGGTCTTGCCCACAGTTGGAAGCAGAAGATGCTCTGTGATAGTAGACAGATCCTCGGCCACAGACGAGAGAATGTTCTCCGAAAACAGCTGGTTTTCTTGTCGGGGGGAGTTTACGATCCGTAGTACCACGTCTGCTGCTCGGAGCGAGTTGGTGGCTGCCTCCACCAGATTAGCCATGTCACGGTCGCTCTTTTCAGCCAGAGGTATACTCAGATCAATGGCATTCATATGACTGAGAGACCGGGTGCAGATCCGTTCCAGCCGCAGCAGATCGTCCAGATCGACCTTGGCAAAGAATTCCCGGCTAACAGCCCGTCGTAGAGTGTCCTGTAGCTGCAATAATGTCTTGGTGCTAAGAGGCAGAAGGGAGCGCTTGATTGGCCGCTGCCAGAGATTCTTGTCGGGAAGAGCGTCAAAGTCGTAGTCGTATGATTCTGCTGAGTCGTCCGCCTCGAAGATTTGCTCCAGCAGTCCCATCATTGACTTTTCCACCATGTCCTGCACCTTTTGTGGTGTGAGAGATGCCACCGTGTGTGTTGGAGGAGGGGCTCTTGGAGGTTGTGGCGGTGCTGGTGGAGTTGGCACATTTTGTTGTTGCTGTGGCGGTTGACCATGTTGGAGTGACTCCTGTGGCGGTTGGCCTTGTTGCAGCGGGTGCTGGGATTCCAGCGTCTGCGCCTGGGTCTGCGCCTGGGTCTGCGCCTGCGCCTGCGCCTGCGCCTGTGTCTGCGCCTGTGTCTGAGCCTGTGTCTGAACCTGTGTCTGAGTCTGCGACTGAGCCTGCGACTGAGTCTGTGTCCACGGTTCCTCCGCGTCCATAAACGACTGACTGAGCTTGGACACTCTGGGGGTGGTGACATGTTGGGCAGCCTGATGCAGAGGCAGCCGTTCGGCCAGATATGTACTTGACGGACTCAGATTCACAGGAAGACGGGAGCCGGTCTGCTCGGGCTCACCGTCGGCCTTTCCAATGCCCAACACGTACTCGTCGCCCTTGAACCGCAGATAGCTCATGTCCTGCTGGAACAGCGCCGTGGTTGTCTGCAACAGCAGCCGGTTGGTGAAGTCCTCGTTGGCCCCAGGCTGGTTCACCGCAGCGGCAATCCGCTCGGCGCGATGGGACACGTCAGCGGGATACTCCTCCAGCACCACGGGAATGGTTGTGTGGATTCGCGGAACAGGCACATGTGCTGTGTTAGTCTAGTTTGGGGAGATCAGCGGGCCCATGCTACTCACCTTTTCCGACCGGCATGAACGGCATCAGAGGACTGTACTTGAGCGCGTCGCCCGCCGTTTGCGGCAGCGGTTTGGACGGCTTTGGCGAGTTGTTCAGGTCGACCATATCGAATCGGAGCGGATGTGAGACTGCTGTAATGCTGATTTCGTGTACCTGTGAACCTTGTCAATAGGTGGATGCTGTCACCAGAACCGGTACTAGAACAGCAAGTATATGCCGCAATGGAGGCGGTATAAGAAGGATGAAACAGTAGACAAAGTCAGAGAGGTTTTGGCGTATTGGAACATTCTGGAGTCGCGAATCACGTTGGAATTAGGCTGGTGAGGAGGTGTTAGGAGGTTTGGTTTTAGTTGATGTTTAGTTAAAGTGGAAGGGAGCCTCAGTACGCAGTTGAATTTAAGTAGTGAAATATTTCGTCTCAGTTGAAGTTTGATGTGGTGAAAAATTTCGTCTCAGTCGAAGTTTGACCTGATGAATGGTTGGTGAAATGTTTGGTGAAAATCAACTAAAACACGAAAAGTGATGATAAAATAGAATAAAAATCACTTCAAGTGATTCTTAGAGACATTTTGATTAGTCATCCATTCATTCCAGTGCAGCTGACAGCAGCATGGTACATACTCCTGCCAACATGCCGGTTGAGGCAATACTGAAATCAAAGTCAACAAACACATTGGTCAAATTTCAACAATTCTCTTCTAAAATATCAACAAACTTTAGTTAATCTCAAACCCCAAGACACACAATTACACAATAAAAATGTACTGTAAGGGATACTTCTTTGGACATTTTTGTTGAAAACAAATATCTTTTCAAACTAATGGTCTAATTTTAAATTTCTTACAATTCCTCCAACAGCGAATTTGAACCCCCAGCTCAACTTTTGTTTTAACAAATTCCCAACAAATGTCAACTAATTTCTCCCCCTGCATTTGTCTACCCCGGTTCATCAATTCCGTCACGAAACGACGAAAAAATTAAATCAATTCACGACTTGATTCATGATATCCAACTTATCTGTACTTTTACATGTCTTCGCACGCTTTCACCGCTTTTTCAGGAGCTCGCGTCTTCACTAGACTCTCCCCCTTCACACATAAAGTTGACTCCTACATCCGATAATGCTGTGATGCATACACCTGTAACAAACCACGCAACATCACACAACTCACCATGACCAGCACGGAAACGGCAGCTTCTCTCGACCATCTGGTTCGCCAGGTGCTGCTTCCCGACAGCGAGCCGTCCAAGCCCGTTCTGGAGCTTTTGCCGGTGCCCACGTCGTGTTCCGATGCCGTCAACACCCAGTGGTACGCTCTGGCGGCGCTCATCTGTCGCCACATGGTACAATCGTGGTACTCGCGGATTTCCGACGACCCTGGCTTTGTGACGGAGATGGTGGAAGTGCTTGCTAAGATCTCGCGGGATGTGGACACCCGGCTGCAGACAATTGACTACGAGACGGCGCTCCTGGACGGGCTTCCGTACCTGATTGATTCGCATTTCGAGGCAGTGGACCGGGCCAAGGCATTGCAGGGCTCGGCGTTTCTTCCAGTCAACTCGCTTTCCGAGGGTCTGCGGGTGTTTCGACCCCATAGAGCTATTTCCGGAGTCCCTGACGACCACTCGGAGCTGGTGTACCAAAAGCTACTGGCGCAACAGATCACAACAATTCTCCTGAAACGACAGAAGATTGACAGCAAGGTGGCACACGCCTTCATCTCGGCGATCCTGCACGACGTGGTGCTCACCACCCTCTTTGAGCGGCTCTCGGAACCCTGGATGCTCTATGAGATCATCATCAAGGTGTGCGACCTGCTGCCTGACAACAGCAAGACCCCCGAAAAGAACGACAATGGCGGCGGCAGAGTGGTGGAAACACTGGGATACCTGGTGTCTAACGGCGTCACTATTGCTACAGAAACCTTTTACGCAGCCAGAACGTATGTCAGATCAGGGTTCGACTTTTACGAGAAGAATTCAGTCGACCCAACACTGGCGGACCAACAAGACGAAGGCGACAGCGACAAGGAGAAGGAAAACGAGAGGAAAACGAGAATTGCGCCCAAACCAGTCACATCGAGATACTTTTTCCAACTACTGGTGAACATCAGCAACATTCGCGCAAAGAAACCGCTGCTGGCCAGCACCCTGTCCTATCTGTCTGTATTCCTGGAGATGCAGCCGCTGGCGGTGTCGATTCGAAACGTGGTGGTTAACTCCATGAACAAGCACGTTTTGCGTGAAAAGACTGCCGAACTCATTCTCAGAAGCGCCCGGACCACCTTGTTCCCCAACAACGGGCCTATGGGAGCTCCCAGGGTGCTTCCTACGGTGCTGGAACAGTACGACATTCGCCAGAATGCCCGAGATGCCCTATCGCGCGTATTCCCGCCGTTTGTGGGGAACGTGACCACAGACATCGATCTTTGGCTGGACCACCTGAGCAACAAGGAGGTCAACAAGCTGCTGCTTTATTATCTGTGCGATTACTTGTTGCAGCTGGCTTTTCCCGAGCTGTCTGAAAAGGTGGAGTAGCCGACCTGGGAACGATTATTTATTGGGGGAACAGACCTCTTGTATACAAATATATCTGAAAAAGTAGGAGGAGGAGTTGATATGTTCCCACAATTCCAATCTGATTTCAATTGAGGTCTAAATCCGTCTTTTTTTTTTCCCAACCTGGACTGCGATCTGGAGTCGTGTCTGGCTCTGAGTCGCACTTGCTCGCACAATTACCCGCTGCTCAAGCAGCTGGATGAGAATGGAACGCTCCAAGGCAACGTGCAACCACGGGTGCCGTGGTTCCACCTCGGTGATTCGGGAGCCCAAACAGGTCTCAATGCGCCATGATTATTGTTTCGCGGACCGCGAGAAGGCTGGATCTTGCCAACGAGAACCTGTACCTTTGGAAAGACTTTTACGCAACCGTTGCTCTGGGCAGAAACGACGTGGAGATAGTCGAGTACTACATGGAGCTGAGGATGAACGACGGCATATGCGCACCAATTTGCAGCCACTGTTTGAGGGTGAACTTGCGGCTCTATGTTCGATAACGGCGAGGTTCTGGGCACGAATCTCGCTGTTCCAGCAACCCAGGTCGACTTGAGAAACGTGGTCACCTCCAGGCCCGACTATGAGGATCGCAATGGTGGACCCCGAACAAACGTACACGTGGTTGTGTGTCACCTTCGGGCCTGGTGGTTGAAATCGATGACATCACGGGTGGTCTACGTCAATTACGAAACGACAAGCTACAAGTACTGTATATACTGTGCTGTTGTAAGCCTGTTGTTTGGCGCCCAGGGGCTCTAATGCTCGTCAGCACGTATACTACTGGTTGTCGTCAGATATGGGCTGCGTGGAACCTGAGGTTTTACAGGCTTCCTGCCGTTCTCATTTGCTCGGTCCCCACGCCATGTCATCAAGTGACTCGGTATTACGGTTACTGTTTCGTTCTTCAATGGTCGCTTCTATCGACTCTGGGTGACCCGGGATACCGCGATGATCTGTCTGAGACTTTGAAAATGGACTATCTATTGGCTGAATGTGCTCGATCGATGCCGAACAGTCTGAGACCACTTCACTGCCACTCAGATCGCTCGAGAGAGGGCTTTTGTCAGCCACTCATCAAGCTGTGGGGGGAGGGGTTGGAGACATGAAGACAGACAAGTCGTACCATTGCAGGAAGGACAATCTTCTGATTTTGATGCCCTACGTCAGTAACGGCAAGCTTCAGTTTGCAGGACTTGGACAAGTGTATCTACAGCCCTGGCGCGCGCTATGGAACGTGGACCTTTGGGCACTCATCTAACAGAACTGTGTCGATGGCTGAATGTCGAGGAAGCGGCACGAGGGGAACCCTAGAGATGAGTAGATCCTAGAAGTGCTTGAGAGATGATCCCAAACAATCTGAAGTGAGATATGTTGGCAGTGAGCATAATGATTGCGATGACGGCTTGGAAGGCGATGAAGAGGAGCCCAAGCTGTACCTCAACCGTTGGGGATTTCGTCTGGTCGACCTTTATGTTCGCAGAGAGCGTAATGATCGGGATGAGAGAAAGGAAGGATGTGTGGACCTTGTTGCCCGAGAACCTCCTCTGCTCCCAGGATCGTGGATTGTCCGCAGGCGTCCAAGAGCGTCGATTACATGGACGACCGAGTCATGTTCCACTGGAGCAAGTCCGCGCAACTTCCAGCTCATAGTATGTACATACTGCACTTGTACTTGTAAACATCTACTAGCTAACATGATTGATAAGCGTTTCTGGACTTGTCCGCCCCAGCTATCGTAATTTCGTATCGTAAAATCGGGTTGGGACGACTCTAGGGCCATCCAGTTCTCCTGCACTATCACTCACTGGGAACTTTATCTCCACATCACACCTCACCAACACCACCCATGGAGGAACTACGAGCTCTTATCAAAGCGCAACCGCGGCCGCTATCGCCTCGAATCGTCCACGACCTGGTTCAGCAGGCGCTCACGTCCCGACACATTTTTTCGTTTGGCGAATTGCTCGACTTGGACGAGATTAGCAACGGTCGGCAAGACGACCCGTGGATCCAGACGCTGCGAATCTTTGCGTACGGCACGTGGTCCGACTACGTGGCGCAGAAGGAGCCCGCAAACCTGCCGGATCTCACAGAAAAACAGGCAACCAAACTCCGACAGCTGTCCATCATCTCGCTCATCACAGACGACCCCAGCGTGCAGCAGGAGGGCATTCTCAAGTACCACGACATTGAGAAGGCGGTGGGGCTAGGCGAGGAGAGCCAGCTGGAGGATCTCGCTATTGACTGCATTTACCGAGGTCTGTTCCAGGGCCGAATCAACTCGCAACTGCATCTGGTGGAGGAGTGTCGGTTGGGCAATGTGGAAAGAGACGTGTCTCCCGCACAGGCGGTGGAGATTGAGGCTGCGCTGACGGAGCTGCTCAATCGTAGCCAGAACGTGCTGGATGAGCTGGAGGAAAGCATCAAGCAGGTTGAGCATGACGCACACGAGCGAAACTTGTCGGTGCAGAAATACAACCAACTGCTCAAGACGAAACCCAAGCCTGCGGTATCGAAAACGAAGTCTTAACGGTGGCTAGGAGTGGGTTCGGTCATACCCAATGCGATTTGTCCGTCGTCATGGCGGTCACATAGTCAACTAATTTATCAGCAGATTTGAACAAACGACAACTTGGAGACAGATAGAGACAACTTGACAACAGAAACGTCGGTTGCTGAGAGAAATGTGGTCGGTTGCTTCCATGGCATTTCAATGTCGCTATTCTTTCACTCCTGTCACTACTTGCAACTACAAGTCCATATTGGGGAAACTGTAATGTCTGTATCTCGATGAGATCAAGATATGAACGAGTATCAGATCATAAATGTGTATACAAGTAAAATAACTTGCAATATAAGTACAAGTATTCTTACTGTATAAATAGAAAACATTGTTGCCGCCAAATATGTCGTTTGCTAGCTCCTTTCCTCTTGGTGTTCGTTCTCGTGCAAACCATCGGTGATAGTGCATGAAGAGTGTTTACACAGGTTAAATGGACAGAATATAGAGAATCATATTGGCAGTGAATTGGGGAAATAAATACTGTACAAGTACTTCTAGTACTTGTAGCTGCACCGGATACTACACGGGGCTTAGCTATTACATTGTACAACATACTACTGGAGTGCAGACATGACCGCTGACACAAATGAGGCTCATTCACCTCTGACGTTTTATTCACATTAGCTTAAGCGTTCCAGATCTTCTTGATGGTTCCGGTGAGGCCGACATCCTCAGTCTCGAGCTTGTAGAGACCGTAGAGACCAACCACGGTTCCTCCGTACAGCAGGTACATGGCGTAGTTGTGAATGGAGCCGTAGACTCGCTTGGGGATGTAGTCGGTAATGCAAGACTCGAAACCAAGCTGAGAGTGGATCAGGAGAGTAGCACCGAGAGTGGCGTCCAGAACGGGGGAGATGGAGCCGGTGGCGAAGGGCAGCACGGTCATGGGGATGAGGCCGACGACAAGGATTCGCTCAAAGGTCCAGTGGTAGGAGCCCTTGGTGGGGTTGGCGGGGGGAACGGGGGCGGCGTCGTTGACGGTGCCGACAATGCCTCCGGGAGGCTGGGGGATGGTGCCGAACATCTTGTGGTTTCGCATGGCGATGGGAGATCGCATCATGAGCTGGGGGGTCATGCCGGCCTTGAAGGCGGGGGTGGACAGTCGGAGGGTGGATCTGAGCATCTGGGTTAGTATGTGGGAGGGAAGGGGGGTCAGGGTGGTTGGCCAGGTGGACAAAAGTCTGTCCTCGTGTGTAGGTGAAAGTCTTCCTAGTGTGTAGGTGGACCTAGTGTAGGCGAACAAAACGTGAACGGAGTGGCATGACAGAGTGACAAGACAGAGCGACAAGACAGAGCGACAAGACAGAGCGACGAGAATCCGCGAAAGACATTAATACAAAGCAGACACCACGAGCAGCGTCACAAGTAGCGATCTTCTCAAATGTCGTCAATTCGCGACCAAGCTAAGATACAGATACCCATTGCTGCTAGTGTCGCGCGCCGTGTCCCCACACTGATGCCCCACACAGGGATGCGCGTGGTGGCTGAGAACAGCAGTTTGTGCCGCACCATTTGTGTCACACTGTCGATGGCGTTGTTTTAAACAGATCGCTTGTTGTCCCATTGCTTGTCCCGTCGCTCGCCCGAGCCCTGTGGTGTGTTATGTCATGGTATCACGTTCAGTCGTCACATTCCGCTGTTCAGGGGGCGCAGTTTTGCCGTCGTGTGTGTGCACTATATAAGCGCCGTGTTTCCCATCTTGTTCCTTCTCTGTTTCATCCTCCTTGTCCATTTCGTACTCACTGTGATGTGCGTGTTGTGTGGTTAGCTGGCAGAGCTCAGTTTCAGGTAGAGATGTTTCCCCGGTCTTTATCGTATAGTGCGCTGAGTAAGCTTCTTTTGGGGGGCATTTTGCCTCCATTACGGAAACGTTAAATAATGGAACGCCTCCTATTGGCTGCTGGGACGGGACCAGGGACTTTTCCGGTTGGACGAATGACAAAGCTTGTTTAGTGAGATGAATGAAGGATGAAGGCACGTACAAGCTGGATCAGGTGAGAGACGAGAGCGGGGGGAGGGATGGGGGGTTGGTCACGTGACCCCTCGCTATCACGAATATTTGGATGCGAAATATGGCGAAAAGACACTTTGAGAGGAGACCGGCTAGCGGCTTTATTTCCTGACTCACCATAACCCTTGCCAATCTTCGACTAAGACTGTGGGGGCGGTGTGGTACGGATATTGAGGGAGTACATCGTATACCAGAAAAAGAGCAGACAGAATACGATCGTAGTGTGAAACTAGACAGCACTATCAGAACTCCTATCTTTTAATTATTCTGGCCAACTCAGAACAAAGAATAACCGTGTCGTCTCAAGAAAACGTGCACATTTCAAAATTAACTAAAAAAAGGCTTTGATAAATAAGAGGTGGTCCAGCAGAAAGACTCATATTAACTTTCAAGGATTTAACCACACATAGTATCATATTCGAATAGGTAATGATGGCACCCACACGAATGCCTATTTCAGGTCTTATATTTATAACCATGAGCGAAAAAGCCGGGGTAATAAATAACTTTCCCCCAACCAGTATCGCAACCATATAAATTCTTAAATTCAATTTGGCAAAAAAGCCAACTGGAAATTCCTCGCCACGTGTGAAGAAACATAAAAAGAGGCCAGAAAATTTTTGGATCGGGTCCGATTAAACAATAAAATATTAAAAATTTGGCTACACTT